GAGGTAAGCTGACAGTAGCGTCAGGAAAGAAACAGTCAGTCACAGTGTAGTAGCTGGCGGCTGTAGGGAGCAGCAGCAGCAACAGCAGCTAGATCCGTTCGGGCAGCCACTCGTGCAGTTAGCCAGTTAGCACGCCAACTAAACAACCAACCAACCAACCAACCTACCAACCAGCCAACCAACTAAGCAACTAAGCAGCCATGCAGGCAGGCAGCGAGCCAGTGAGCTAGTGAGCCAGCCAGCCAACGAGCCAGTTAGCTAGTCGGCCAGGCGTCAGTCAGCCACCGCATATTCGCACACTCAGCGAACGCAGCGCAACACATGCAAAAAGTTACTCGCTTGCAACGAACGAGACGCGACACGCAGCGGCTAAGAACGGATCGCATTAGCGGCAATTGGCTATAGCAGCAGCGGCAGTAAATAGCTCTAAACATAAGAAAGATTAGCGGCGGTTGAAATTTTCGAAAAAAGAAAGGCGGAAAGAAAGATTTTTTATTTGCTTGTTAGTGAGTGGCGAAATAGTAGAACTGTTTTTAGTGAAAAGTTTTCGTAAAAAAAAATGCAACATTCTTTTGGAAAATTGGAAAAGCTACGTCAGTACGCAAAGTGAACCGGAAAAAGTATTTTGAGTATGGCGAAAATAAGGCAAAGCGGGAAATGCCAGTAAACGTTGTGCGCATAGCGGAAGTATGGCAGTGAGAAAGTGCGGTAGGTTTGAAAAAAAGGTCGCTGCTGGCTGCTTCGCCGACGGCAAAATGCAGCAAACATGTGAAATGCTTTTTTATTTAATTTTTATAACAATTAAATATTGATGGGCATAAGTGAGAAATATTTTGAAAATGCAATACAAAAACATAAAAGCATAAAAAATATTAAAATAGTTTTCTGAAAATAAATAATTATAAATGAAAGATAAAAAAAACAACTAATCAATTAATTAAAAATAAAATTAATGAATAAAAGAGAATAAAAATTATTTAAAAACAAAATTAGTAAAATAAAAATTAATAAAATAAAGACAATAAAAATAATTTAAAAATAAAATAAAAATTATTTAAAAATAAAATTAAATAAATAAAAATTAAAATTTATAAAAAAAAATAATTAGATATGAATTAATAAAATAAAAAATTAATAAAATAAAAAATTAGTAAAAAAAAATTATTTAAAAATAAAATTAAATAAATAAGAATTAAAATTTATAAAAAAATATTAATTAGATAAAAATTTTATCAAAAAATTAATAACTTTAAAACAAATTATATTAATGGAAAATTGGCGCATTTAATTGTTGTTGGTTAATGACGAATTAAATATTACAACTACAGGTTACTATTGGCTTAGTGGTTAAGTCAGGTTCCGGTGGTTAGATCCCTGCCACAAAATATCTAATATCCAAAACAGCTGTCACTTTTAACGTTAATCTGTTTTTTGAATATCAAAATAAATCCAGCTTCAGCTCATTAAATTGTAACATAAATTATATCAATTTAAATAATAATATTAGATTAATAAAATTAAAATAAATAAATAAAATAAAAATAATAAAAAAATAGAAATAAAAACAATAAAATAAAATAAATGAAAGAATTTAAAATAAAATAAATAAATGTAATCAAAAGTAAGAAAAAAATATAAAAAATTAAAATTAATTGAAATAAGTAAATAAAATTAAAATAAAATAAATAAACGAAATTATAAAAATTAATTAAATTAATTAAATTACAATAAAAAATATGCAAATTAATTAAATTAAAATAAAATCAACTAAAATAAATTAAATTTAATAAAGAAAATTAAAATAAAATGGAGTAAAATGAAGATAAATGCAAAAATTCAAAATTAAATAAAATCGTTAGAATTGAATAACAATAGTTTTTAGTGAATTGATATATTTTTTTTATTTAACAAATTGATAATTAATAAAAAGAAAGGATAAAGCAATCAAAACTTAAAACTGATTTAATTTGTATTATTATTTGATTGACCAAATATTAACAGAAAAACATTAAGAATAAAAAAAATTCTATAAAAAGCCGAATTTCTTTAATAAATATTAATAAATAAAAAATTAATAAATAAAAAACTAATAATTTCAGCGAGCACTTTGTTGAAAGACCAAATTTATATTTTTTACTGAAATAACTTTAAAAAAATTTGATAAAAAGAAAACAAAAGCAAAACAGCAAGTGAGTCCCTGTGTACCACTATTGAATAGAAATACCAAAATGGCTGTTGAAAAATATGCAAAATGTGCTCTTATAAAATTCTAAAGTGTTAGTGACGTCAAGAAAAGAAATTATTTTAAATTGTTATAGAAGTTGAAAAATCTTACCGAAAAATACTTAAACGATTTTATCAACTTATTATTGCTTAATGGAAGTTATAAAAAACTAAAAAAAAGCCTGTTAAGGATTTTAAATACATTTTGAAAGAAGCTTTAATTCATGACGTACAATTTTTTGTTTAATAAATGTGATTTTGAAAAATATTTGTGGATATATAACTATTAAATAATGCTAATAAATTGTGAAATTGAAAAAAATATGTTTAACAAGAAATTTGTATCTAAGAGAGGCTATTGGAAAAATTACTAGTGAAATTAAGCATAACTCGATAAATGGTTTTTTTTTTTTGGTGAAAAAGTTATGCGTGGCACCTACGAGTGAAATATAGTTTTGCAGCTAAAGACTTCTCCGTAAGAAATGTTGAACGTTTTTTTTTGTTAACGCAACTTTAAACAGGCTTTAAAAGAGATTAAAGAAATGTAATAATTTGGCAAATCAAAAGTGAATATTTTTCAAGCGAAATGAATCTTCTGGTGACTAAAAGTGAAGCTTCAAAAAATTCATGAGAAATAATGGACTCAAAATAGTGACTTAAAATTTCAATTTTATTAAAAACAATAAACAAATAAATTAAAATTATTATTAATTATATAATATTACAATTCTTTAACTAAGAATATATTTTTTTTTTATCAAAGTGTAAGTGATTTTCATGAACTGTTTTTTTTTTTAGATATTTTGGCAATTTAACAACTCAAAATAACTAAACAATAATGCATTTGTCGTTAAAACTTAATTCCGATTAGTTAATATAGTTTTGGGTTTTATGTAATTTTCTTATCAAACGTTGGACATTGTGAAGGAAAATCTTCGAAATTAAAGGAAGTGAAAAATGCCAAGCTGTAAGTAGAACTCTTTATAAAGGAAATCAGTTGAAGCTGTTGACATATTCAAATAAATATGTAAATGTGACCCAGTCCAAATAACGAAAACAAATATGCTAATATTAAACCTAAATTAAATAAGTACAAATTAAATTAACTTAAAATCAAAATAAGTTTGTTAGAAATTAGTGAGCGAATAAAAAATTTATTGTATATAACAGCATTAAAAAAATATTCAAATAAAAAATGTTGGACTTAAAAAATTTGCGTTATGAATTAAAAAAAAAAATCTAAACAAAAAAATAAAATTATACTAACTTTTTTATGGCCTAACTTTCAATATTTTTATTTTTTTAGTATAATATATTGTTTATTAAAATACTAGTTGCTTAACAAACAGTTGGAAAAAAATATATAAAAACAAAATTAGAAAAAAAAAATCAACTAAAAATTCTAATTTCATTTTGAATAACATATTTTCGTATTATTTTCATTGTAATTTTCAAATGAATTTGTTAAAGATTATTTTAGACAATTTTAATAATTCCTTAAATTTGAATAATATATAAAATAATGAAATTTTTTTTTGCTATCTATTTTTTTATTTAATTTTTTTTATTTATAATTACATATATTTATTTATATTTTAAAAATAAAAAAGCATAATTTTTTAAAAGTAAAACAAAATTAAAGATTGCTTAAAATTACTATGTATTTTATATATAGTAAATGATATCAGTTAGCAAAAATTAATATTCTGTTTCTGTTTTTTTTTTAAATCGAAAAATAGCATTATTTCATAACAAAGTTATTTAAAAAAAATTAAATTCTGATAAATATGTGAAATATAAATAAAAAATAAAGAAAGAAAAAACATCTTAATTTATTATATAAAGCATATATTTTAAAATAATAAAAGTAAATTTCGCAAAGATAAATAATATATTTATATATATATATACATTTTTTTTAATTAATTGCTGATTTATTTATATAATAAATACTTTATATTGTTATATATATATATATAAATTAATTAATTAAAAAAATTATAAATTCTGAAAAAATAAATCTGGTGTGAACAAGAAATTTTAAATATATAATTCATAGCATTAATTAATCAATAAAATAAAAAAAAATATTTATTTTATAAATAAAACATATATTAATTTGAAATAAAAATTATTAATTTTTAAAATAATAAACGACGTAACTAATTTATTTAATTAATTTGATGTGTACAAAAAGATTAACAAATTTAAAAAAAAATACTTACATACATATTTTTTGAGAATATTTTTTTACTAAATTTGCGAAAGAAAATTTTGAGAATTTTTGTTGTGTATTCAAAAACCAATTTTCTGAAGCAGAATTTCATTAATATTCTCATTTTATTAAATTGTTTCTTGTTAAAAAAAACAGTTTGATATTAATATGTATTTTTTTTAATAATTAAATAACTTATTTTGTTTAAAGTATTTAAAAAATATTTGAAGAGACATTTTTCAATTAATTTCTAGATTTTTCTAAATTTCCAGGTAATTTTTTGTAAAATTTTAATTTTATTTCGCGAAGACCAATAAATGCGTCAATGAAGTTCCAAAAAGCACAGAAAAAATATAAATATATGTATTATATGTATGTACATATGTATGCTTATGTGTTATATACAAGATACACATATATTTGTGCACAACGTAATAATTCCACTTATTGTTTATTGTTTGACAATTCCATCAAATGTTAATGTACATTTGGCGCAAAATGCGCCACCATAAAAGCTTACCACCAACAACAACACACAAAACAGCAACAACAATAAAGAAGAAAAATCGCAACACTTGTTGGTACAAAAAATTACTACAAAATACTACTACAACCCCAGCAACAACACACTATGTCCAGTAAGTAGTTCCTCCAACAAAACGCATAACCCACCACAACTACCCAACGTGCCCAGCGTGTTCTTCAAGCCCCAAAAGGGCCACCGTTAGGCAGTGAGTAGCACATGGTTTGGGGTTGTTTTTGCTAAGGTAAGGGTTGCTTGCTTTCCAACGTATGAATGAGCGAGTGAGTGAGTGCGGGTGGCGATTGGTGAATTGGGCTGAAACTCTTGTTCTTCTTCCTCTCCTTATTCTTGTTATTTTTCTAATTTGCTCCATTTTGCTGTGCGCCTAACACATAAGACGTTGAAAGCGCGCGCGTATATTCACCGTAAACAGAAAGAAAAAATAAGTTCTTATGTCAATAAAAAAAAGCTTGTCCACCCCATAAATGGGGGATCACAGTGACTAACGATTGAGTGACCACAAGTCCAAGTCCTAGTTGTGTTTACGTGTGCGATGTCTCCATGCTTAAAGTGGTAGTTGGCTGGTTGCACACGAGGATGAATAGAATAAAAAAAAAACTTCAAACTGACCGATCGGCCCAAGCTGACGACACAATGCGAGTGGCAAGTGTGTTTAAAGAAAAAAGCGCGAAAGAAAAAGTTTTTGGTCAACGCTGCTGCAATGAGCCGAGCGCACCGTACGAGACAGCTCGGTTGCGCGCTCGCTCGCATATACATAGGCATGTGTATACTCAGTTGCGCGCCTCTTCTATGCAATTCTCATATACACACAGAGAGTTGTATTGCGTCGCCAGCAGGTGGTAGGCAGGCAAGTTGAATGTGGTTTGCTCGGATGGATGGACGGCCGGATGGCTAGTTGGTGGACATTTGACAGACTAGCGTTGTTGACATGGGACACTGGGCGCTCTGCTGTTCTTGCTATTGCAGTAGTGACCAACACAACACATTTTTCTATTGCTCTTATGCGCACGCTGTGCTTCCTATATACGTACCTGCACTCACTCACTCACTTCGCGCTCACTCGCACACTTGGCGCGCGCTGTCGACGTCGCTGCTCGGCGCATCTCGGCACCCTATCTGCAATGCTGTGAATTGCTAAATTCTATTCTGTTTAGTGTTAGGCGCTGGGACTTTGTCTTTTAGCCGCAATGACAGTGGGCGCACAACCTCAGTGCATGCGATGGCTAACGCACGTCTCCAGCGCATCATCACGGACGTACGACGCGATTGATTTGCAACTTGTAACGAGCAATATTCGTCATCAGCAGTGTAGGCAATATTTTCTAAAGACGTACACGACGTGTACGTGACATAAGATAGCGCGTAAACTAAATACAACGCCATAGTGCGCGTTGCTTTGACGCGCATCGCAACGCGTCACTCATCAAATGTGAAGCGCTCGTTGGCTTTCGGCGTTTTTGTTGTTGCAAAGTTCTTAATTTCCCATTTTTGCTGATTTTTTGTGACTTTCTTTCTAGCGCGCTTGTACGTCTAACGCGTTACGGCTCTCGGCTGTTGTTGTTGCTGCTGCTGCTCATACTTGTTTTTGGCTGTTGCTGCAGCTGGTGTTGGTGTTGGTGCTGGCACTGTTGGTGGCTTCGCGCCAATGCAGCTCCCTTCAACAACCATTAGCTAACAACAACCACAACAACATTGGTAGCAGCGCCTAATGGCAGGCAAGAGTCGCAGCGCCGCAACTCATCGTAAACAAGTCGTCGTCGTTGTCGTCATCGTCATTCGAAACAATTTGCAGCCGCATTCGCAATCACAATCGCATTGGTGTCGGTGTCGGGCGGTGTTTTGCTGTTCTCGCTGGCGGAAATGCAATCAACGACGAACACGACAACGCGTCTATTTAACGAGATTTACGAGTTGTAATAGTTACGAAAAACTTTTCGAATTTCGCCATAAATTCAACGCTAATGTGCGTTGCTACGAGTTGCATTAACAATTTTGGCATAATCGCTGTCAATTTAAAAGGATTTTCATATTTTTTTTGTGAAAGTGCTGAATGATTTTTTGACAATTTTTAGAAATACTTAATGGTTTTTGATAGTCATAATTTCGAACGCGTGCATTGTTTGGAATGCGTGTGGCTTGTTGGCTTTGTGCTGAATTTGGCATTCGAATGTAAATAATTTTTTAATAAATAACAAAAAAAAAGTGAATAATTAAAAAAAAAATAAAACATATGCATAAGCACAAATGCAATGAATTCTTCTCTAAGTATATAATAATAATTTCAATAAGGAGAAGAGGAGAATTTAAATTACATTTTATTACTCGAAACATATGAAGGTATATTTCAGAAAAAACATTTTCTGAATTCTTATATAGCGGTTTTGAAAATTCCAATACTATTGAAAAGCTGTGAAAAATATTATGTTTGTAAGATTCTTCAGGATGAAGAAACTTCAAAATAAGTGCCAATTAAAATGAAATAAATTAAAAATTGTTTTTTAAATTTCACATGTTAAAATGAAACACAGTAAAGGAAAAAACGAAATAAAATAAAATAAAATAAAAGAATAAAAAACCAACTAAAATAATATAAAATATAATCTAATAAAATAAAAAATAAAAAATAAAAATAAAAACGAAATAAAAAAAATTAAATTAAAAAAATATATTAAAAATATGTATTAAAAAAAAATTAAAATATGAAATAAATTTTTGAATTACACATGCTAAATGAAATAGATAAAACTAAAAACACACTAAAGGAAAGAAAAACAAAACAAAATAAAATAACTCAAACAACCTTAAAAAATCAATTCAAATCAAATAAAACCCAAAATAAAAAACTCTATGAAAATAAAATAAAACTAACATAAGTTATATAAAAAAATATAAAAAAGCAATAAAATTAAACAAAAAAATTAAATTAAAAAAATGATTAAAAACAAAATTTAAAAAAGAAAATCAATTAAAAAAATTAAATTAATAAAAATTAAATTAATAAAAATTTAATTAAAAAAAATTAAATTAAAAAAATATAGTTAAAAAAGCGCTAATTATAAGTATTACATAAAATAACTTAAATAATTTAAATTGAAAAAAATTAAATTAAAATATATTAAATTACAATAAAATAAATTAAATTAAAATCAAACAATATAAAAAAAAATAAGTAAGATTAAACAAAAATAAACTAATATATGTAAATATAATTGGCATTTTGTAGACGCTGAAGCGATTTTCGCTCAAGCTCCTCCTCCAATTTTTGGCTCTGAGCCTCGATGTGTTTCCAAGAAATGTATAGACCTACAGTTCATACTAAGCTGGTGATGCTGGCCGCAATTAGAAAAATTCGTTTTCTATAATTTTGGATATTGGTCCAACCAGGACTTGAACCGTGATCTTCAGAAGGGTAGTACGCAATGCTAACCATTCGGATACTGCTTACGCAATTAATATAAAATAAAAAAAGTAAATTTGAACGAAATAGAAGAAACAGTGTCATACATCATTACATAACATAGCTTGCTGTAACATAACATAACATAAAAAATATAGTAAAATGAAACCAAAAAAATTAACTAAAAAATAAGACAAATTTAATTAAATGATATTGAAATTAATTAAAAGAAAATAGAATCAATTAAAAAGAAAATAAAAACAAAATAAAATAAATTAATACAAAATAAAGAAAAATAAATCAAGATAAAGCAAAAAAAAAATAAAGTAGCTTATATTAAATTAAAATGTGTTAAAATTAATTGAAATAAAATGAAATGAATTTAAATAAACCTAAAAAATATTAATAAAGAGAAAAAGGAGTGGAAGTAGTAGTATAAAAAAATTTAATAATGGTGAATGTAGACACTCACTAGAACAAGTGCATTCTGTGTTTTGAAAGCTTAACGGTCTTCACCTTATAAAAGCTGATATTTTCCCATCCAAATTTTTATTAGTGTTACGAAAATTTATTGGCTCCACATACAGAGCCGCTCATAAAATTAAAACCACTAAAAAATAAACAAATAAAAAAGTCTAAAACAATGCAAACCCTGAATGTCGACCAAGGCGCTCACTTGCTGAAGTTTGACTTTAAAAATTCAAAAGGGTTAATAGTTTTATACAAATCACTCGCTAATATGACTGTTTGTGTGACTGAAAAATTATGGTTTCAAAATTAAATTAATGAAATTTTCTCATTATTTTTATTTACTGCAGGAAACTAGTGATTTCTGATTAATAAGAAAACGCTGAAAGTATTTTTAATAAAAAAAAAACTCAGAGTTTAATATGAAATAAGTTTTTGGATGAAAGTGCAAAATTAAACCATTGAAGACACTGGTAAAAAATATTTTATTGAGAACACTTGCTTTATTAGCGTGTTCTATAAGCTCTAAGTAGATATAAGTAAATAAAAAAATTTTGACGCGAAGGCAAGATTTACTACTTTTTTAAAAGGAATAGAGTAAAAAATATATGGATTTTCTTTTAAATCAACCAAAGCCCTCTAAATATCTGGGACGCGTTATATACATACATACATTTTTTTTTAATTTGTATACTTTTTTATAAACGTATAAATACATATGTATAGTATACCTTCAATATGATTTTATACAAAACAACATTTATTTGAACTTATAGGAGTTTCCCGTGAAAATTATGAAAATTTTTGTGGATTTTCCCCTTTGGAAAACAGATTTTATGTTTAATTAAAAACGCATGGGAACTTTCTAACACAGTGACAAATTTGTAAAAATAATTAAATTTTTCTTTGTTTTTTTACAACTCAACAAAAAAAATATATATATTTTTTAATTCAATATTTAATATTTTATATTATTTTTAATTACAATCAATCCAAAATTTCTATTTGATTTACCCTCTTTATTAATAGCAAACTCATAACATTCCTAAAACGCCAATATCCAAATTACACTTTTTTCGCACAAAACACCATCAACGAAAATCCAAAACATTCACATCAATCAAGCAGACACATGACGCTTGCAGTCAACAATAAAAACCACCAGCAGCGCCAAAGCAGCTGATTACCACCTACCCATTGCACTTGTGCCACTAAACAACACGCACACAAGCACAAAACACAACACACTCAATCGCCAACTGCACCCCATCTCTCTCCCCTACCAAAGTTGAAAATAACATAATAAATAAATATGTGGAAAGGAGCAACGTGTTGCAAGGGCTACACAACGCAACCATGAATGTTGCATGCAACAGCAACACGAATATTGCTGTTGTTTACAAGAGACGCAAAAATTCGCAACACACGCTGCTCTTAGCCGTGTTAACAGTGGAAAAACGAATACTCTTTAACAGCTCCTTGCTGTTACTTGAAGCTCTTATGCCTGCGAAGAGAATTAAAGCCTTGCTGCAACTAGCAAGTAAGCCGGTTGTATTTTTGGTTTTGGCGTATCTTTGCTTCGTGTTGCGCTTGATTGCGTTGCGTTGGTCGTGTACAACTTCACCCGCCGCACGCCTTCTCGGCACTTTGCTAAGCACACTGTGAGACACCAACTCACTGTTTGTTGTCCTCTGTTGAGTGTGTTGGCTTATTGCAATTTATTGCTGTTGTTCTTGTTCTTGTTGTTGTTGCATGCCGTTTGTTTGGCTTGCTGGTTGGTTCGAAGGGTTTTCATTATCGTACTACTATGTTGTGGATGGACGATGACGACGCGCTGCGACTCGCGCTGCCACTCGCAGCGACTGCCACTGACTCTGACAGAGATTTTGCACGCGATGCCACTGCAGTTCTTGCAGATACCTTCGTACGTTTGTTTGGCTTGCACCGGCGAAAAATTACATTTTGTTGCGCGCGTGTGTTGCTGTACTCATTCGCCGGACAAGTGCAGTAACACAACATATTTAACAACAAAACATGAATTAAAATAAAAATACCAAAAAAAAAAATTATAAAATTTTTACATAGAAATTTTTGAGTTGGAAAAAATTAAAATTTAAAGAAAATATAAATAAAATTCACTCACACTTCAAAAAGTATGCATAAAAAATTCAACAAAATACCGTTATATGCATCATTTTTATCCGCGCTGTGTAGTTGTGTAGTACAAATACTCGTTTCGCGTAAATTTTTAACAACAAATACATAGAAGAAAATATGAACATTTTATAAAAACATAAAAATTAAATCGCAAAATACAAATAAAAAATGTTTTTAATAACTGTTTTCTTTAAGTTCATCCAAAAACAATACGAAACGCTTCGCTTGCTCATACCGCCGCTGAAACCACATTTTCTATCGTACGCGTACGCGTGCAGTGCTGCAGTGGCGTCGCGCATAGTAATGCCGGTAAAATGTAATTGATTTGTCAATTTTTGGTGGATAAATCTTAAGTGAAAGAAACAAGGGAATATTTTAAAGTATGTGCTAGTTAATTTCCTAATTTATCTATGTAATAATTCATTCTCCTTCTGGGTAGCGTGTTTGCTAGTCGTTGAGGTATTGTCTTAATAAAATTTCTACGTCGACACGGTTGTGTTGCTTCAGTATTGTGCACTTTTAACAAAATATTAATAATATTAAATTTTTGTACTGTTTTGATTTGCAAAAAAAAATTTTAAAATTTCCTTAAGCTCCAGAAACCAAAAAAAGATAATAATTATTGGTTGTAGAAAAAATATAAAAAATTGTGTGCAGAAAATTGTTAAAAATTTTATTAACAAAATTTAAGAGCAGTTTTTAGATTTTATAAGTCGGTTATAAATAATTTAGCAGATAATACGGTATTAAAAATCAAATAATTAAATTGATATGAAGGAAAAAAATTGTTTATCCGCAACAAAATTATTTCAAAATACTATAAAATGAAAAAATTTAATAATAAACTCAAATTAAGTTAAAAAATAAACTATTATCAAAAGAAATGAGTAAACAAAAAGGGAAAGAAATAGTTTCTGTTACATAATAATTCAACGTGCTTAAAAATTTAAAAAAGCGGAACTTATTTTACTTAAAAATTAAATTAAAATAAATAAAATATATAAAAAATTAATTAAAATAATTCAAAATACTTTAAAATTACAAAATAAATCAACACGCTTAAATTTCAAAAAAGCGAAAATGAATTTATATAAAAATTAAATTATATTAAAATAAATAAATAAAAATTTAATTAAAATAATTCAAAATACTTTAAAATTACAAAATAATGGAACAAGCTTAAAATTTTCAAAAAAGCGAAATTGAATTTACTTTAAAATTAATTAATAATAAAATATGTAGATAAATAAAAAATTAAGAAATTTATTGAATTAATTTAAAATACTTGAAACTAGAAACAATTTGAATTAAATCCAATTGATAATTAAATTAAAATAAAGTTAATAAAATAAAAATTAAAAATGAAGAACCAGTTTTGTGTCAAAAAATGAATTTAAATTACTTAAATATTGAAAAAATAAATAATATGAAATTAAATTAAGCTAAAATTTTAAATAAAATAAAATGAATAACTAAATAAAATTTTTAAAAAAGATATTTTAAATTAATTTATACTAATTAAAAACGAATTAAATAGATAAATAACAAAGCGATTTTGTTAAAAAATTTGTTGAAAGTTCAACTTTATTAAAAATTAATATAAAGTTAATGAACAAAAATTAACCAATAGTTTTTACTCACAAAATTTACTCAAAAATTAGAAAAAGTTGAAATACAATTAAAATTTAAAATAAAATAAATAAACAAAAATTAATAAGAAATTTTTCCTTACAAAATTTACTCAAAAATTGGAAAATTAGAAGAAGTCGAAATTCTATTAAAATTTAATATAAATTAAATAAACAAAAATTAAAAAATAGTTGTTCTTTAAATAATTTACTCAAAAATTTAAAAATTAAAAAATTGAAATAAAATAAGTAATTAAATCATTTTCAACTTAAATAAAAATAAAAATTAACTCAAAATAAAATAAACAAATAATAATTCAAAATACTTAGAAAAAATAATATTAAAGTAATATAAAAAATATTTAATTAACGCAAATATTAATAAATAGTTTTTATGTATAAAAAAATGAAAAACTTTTTATAATGAGAAAAATTAAAAAAAAAACCAAAAAATTTATAAAATTTTTCTACAAATTTAAGTCAAAATAGTTCATAATACGAAAAAATCTAATTAAAATACAAAGTTTAATAAATTTTTTCATTTCCTCAAAAAAGTGTTAAGTGTAAAGTTATTAACTTTTTTATTTTAAAATAATAGCAAAAGCTGTTTATTTTGATAGTTTAAAAAAATATAATAATAAGATATACAAAATGAAGAGAATTTAATACAAAATATTTTTGAATCAATAAACAGTTCGTAATTCAATTTTTCATTTTTTGAACTTATAAAAAATATCAACGAAAAACTTTTATTTTGAAATTTCGAAAACACTCACAAAAAAAATTCGTTTATTTTGAAAACTTAAATCACATTTTATAAATATTACTGTTTGTTACCAAAAGGTGTACAAAGTTTAACATCACTAAAATAATTATTAAAAAGGGCTTTTAGTTAAATAAAATAATGAATTTGTATTTTTTAATATATAATGAAACACACATAAAAGATAAAAATAAACTTTAAAAAATAATTTGGTTGTAAAACTCATGTAAAATCAATTCAAAACGTCTTATAAATAAACATAATTAAAATATAGTTATAAAAAAATAAAAAAAAAATAGATAAATTAAAATTCTCCAAAAGGAAAGAAATTTAAAATTCTTATATTTTTGTGCTTGCAAAAATTGCGCTTGAAAATTATGGGTCTTTGAGGTGCTTGTGTATGGGTGTTTGGATAATTTAAAGCAATTTTTTTGTTCGAGATAGAGCATGTTTACAAAAAAAAAAATAATTTTATCAAACAAAACAAAAAAATGAGGCTTTTGAAAAAATAAAAGAGCTTTGAAAAAATGTAGAAATTTTGTGATAAACAAATAATTTGAACACAAATATTATTAAAAAAAAAAATTTTAAATTAATCAAGTACGGAAATTGAAAATTGAAGAGAAAATTTTAATTTTTTTTTTAATTTCTAATATATAATTTTTTGAATTTTAATATCTTTTTTTTTAATTTTCAACGTGCAAAAGTTGTCCAAATATTAAACAAATAATTAAAACAAGCTTGTACGCAAATTTTTCTACTCATTCATGCATTTAAATTTACTAAAAAATTATTTTAACAAAAATTAAAATAAGTTTTGCCAAGAAAATGGCTTTTGTAGGTTTAAATCGCAAAAAAATTTATCCAAACAAAAATTAGTTAATCATAAAAAAAGCAATAAATTTGTGACATTTGTTTTATAATTTTTTGTTTGTTCCATAAAATATTAAACATGAGATCGAATTTTGTAAAACGTTGTCTTGTGAAATTTTTTTTTTTTTTGGTTCAGTAAAAGGGAAAAAGAAGAAAAATGAATGATTGCAGTGAAGGTAGTGTGTGAAATGAGGAGCTATTTATATATTTATGAAATAATAAAAAATGCACAAATAATTTCTTTTATATATAAAATGTAGGCGATTTCGATGTTGTTGTTTTCTACATTTGATAATTTTTTTAAATATTTATTTTTACTTAATTTTGGTAAAAAAAATACATTCAGTGATTATATTGCTTGATTTAAAACCGTAACTGGAATCAAGCTTAGCACGCTTATTATTATTAAGATTACTCTCCCCAAAATTATAATATTTTTTCTACACTTGCGAGTAAAAAAAAATTATTTTTCTATATTAACTCCGAAAAAAACTGAATAAAAATTTTCCACACTAATTTTATATTTTTTCTTACAGATGAATATTAATTTACTAAAATGATCAGAATTCGCTAACGTGAGCACACAAATCGACATTATAACTAAATAAGAATTAAAAGAAAAGAAAAAAATTACTAGTGAAAAAAACCAAGCAGAAAGAAGCTACAACAACAAAACTACAAAAAATATCGTCAGAATACAGGTACTGCGGAAGAAAAGTGGAAATTAAGCAAAAAATTACATGCGAGAGTAAAAAAAATAAACAATTTACAAATTAAAGATATAAAAATTAAAAAAAAAATACAAATTGTGAATGTATTAAATCCAAAAAAAAGAAACTGTTTCGATGAAGACAAATTATTAAAAAAAAATTTACACACTTGTGAAATTGTGAAAATTCAGAAAACTTGCAAAAAAAAATAAATAAAAGGAAAAAAATGAGTTCAACTTGAGAGAAAAAAATGATAAAAAGTTGAAATTAATTTAAAAATGTGCAGAAAAATTGACCAAAAAAATTGCGATAAAAGTGAACAAAATCGAAAAGTTACTGCTTCGCTGTCAAAAATCGCCACTAAAAAGAGCAGGATTGTTAAAAACAAAATCATATATTAAATCTTCAAGAAACCCGGATTTGACGACAACAGCGCACAGACATTACTGATACGAGTGTTGTGATTGGTTGGAAAAAATTTTCCGTCGAAAGCAAAAAAATTCAAGAATTCACTTTTTTTTCATTTTTCGGTAAAAATTTTGCTGTGAAAAAAAAAAAATTGTTAAACACTAAAAACACTTGCTGCTTTCATACATATATACATTGCTGTGCTTTAAAAAAAAAATATTAACACATCAGAAAAAATACTAGCTACTAGTTTTTGTTGTTAATTTTTGTTTTTGCCAAAAAAAAAAAAAAACGCTGCTCTTCATGAACAAAACTCACACGCCCACAAAAATATGGACTTTTACATTAAGAAAAAAATTATAATAAATTGTTTACTCGTTAAAACTGCAACTCTGCGACACGTTGAAAACACCGAAAAAAATTGTAAAACATTAAAAAATTCTGTTTTCGCCCAAAAAAAGTAAAAATAATAATAAACAACAAGACAAAAAGCGCAGACTGAGTGACGAAGAAAGCTGGAGAAAGCAAAAAATAGTATTGTATTGTATGTATATATATATTGCCAACAACAGCGCACAGCTCAAAAAGGTGTTTATTTAATTACAACTATTGTTGTTGTTGTTATTTTACGTTATCAAATAGGCGAAAAAATTGCAATCAGATTTCGTTGTTGTTGGCTGCCATATTACACATTTGCAAATATTTGTGCACAAAGTGTTTGAACGTGGTTAGCGCACTTTATTTATAATAAAAAATTTACAATAAAAATTTTCAAAAAATTATTTTCAAAAATTTTAATCAGTGTGTGTGCTCATGAAAATTATGACTTTGGATTCCTTAAAAAGCAATTGAAAATAAATCCAAAAAAATTAATATAAAAAAATACGTTAAATTCACTGTACTCTTTTTTATATACTTGTTCTCAAATACCAAAATAACTGTTTTGTTTTTCGTTAACATATGTTTGTGTGGCGCGTGTGTTAGATTTACGTTCCGTTTTAATTTTTACAAATGGATTGCAATTGCACTTCAAAAACTGGATGGTTTATCGTAGCTTTCGTAGCCAAGTGCATTGAAACAACAACAACAACAATAACAGCAGCAGCAATAAAAACACGAAAATCAACAACAACGCCAACAGTGAAAGCATTTCAATTATTAAATACAGCTGATAATAATACTACGAAAGCTAAAGCTTTGAAAGCAGTTAGCAGCAACAGCAGCAGCAGCATTTTGACAGGAAGCGTGTGGTCGTTTGTCGTCATACTGAATTGCTTTTAAATTATTTTTACTTTATGTGGTGAGTTTTTTTTTTTCTAAATTAAAAGGAATTTAAATATACATTTTTTCAGATATTTTAAAATATTTTTATACAAGTTCATAAAAGCTCATATATACATAAGTTTATTATGGAAGATACTACAAACTTTTGAAATATGACCTTTAAAGCATTTACTATGTATAATATGTAGATAATATAATATAAGAGCTGCCAAAGCTCTTTTAGGATTCTTGCTTTTTTAGACTTCAAAATATTTCATTTAAAATATTTGGGTGAAATTTTTTTACTATGTTTTGTTCCAAATTTCATTCATTCATCGGAGCTTTAACTGGCCAAAAAAAATAATAAGCTTTTTTCTAGCTTTCATTGCACTCAGTAATAACTTATTTAAAGCTTTTTTGAGACTTCAAAGCTTGAACTATGATTTTTTTATTATTGAACGCTAAAATTAGATGAGTACTAATTTAAATGAAAATAGAGAAAAATTATTAAATTTTTTTAACATTTTGTTAAATGCAAAAGATACCAGCAAACGTTTTCTTGTAACTGTAACATTAATACATTTTTTGAAATTAAAATGAATTCAAAATGTAAAAACAGTAATAAATATGTATGCATATAAATATAAAACAGTAAAAAACCAATAGTTGTTGCATAAGAACTTTCAATAAAAGCTTACTTTTTCTCTGCCTCCAAAATTAGGAACATAGCTGTCGACGTGCATATGAGTAGAAAGCCGACGGCAAATTGAATGAAAAATCGTAGAAACTCGATTCATTGATATTTAAAAAGAAATAAGCTCAAGTACACATTTTATGAATACAATTAATTGCTTCTTTACACTTTAAACGAATATGATATATATTGAAAGCTTTGGAAGTTCCGGTGAAATGATTTTACTCAGCAGAGATTTAACTACTGATAGTTTTCAGTAAAAATATGGACTGAAAATTGAATACCGTTATGATAATATCAACTCAAAGAACATTAAATTTGGTGAAAGCTTTGACAGTTGCCATGGAAGTTTTGCGAAAGCTGCTATGAAAAATTATAGAACGGAGAATTTTCAAAAGCGCTGTACCCGAATGTTATTCCAATCGTACTGCATAAAAAACGATCGCACTGTAATATTTATATTTTATTTTATATTTATATTATATTTATATTTATATAAAAACTATAGACAAAAAATTTGAAAATTTTGTGAAAGCTCTGTTGAACATTTTGATTTCGGAGCAACATTTTTTTTTTAATATAAATTTAGTAAACAATTTTTGCGTTTCACTTTGGTTTGACTTACTTAGTGAAAGCTCAATACAAATTTTTACCCTCGAAAAGCTACCATGAAAGTTCCGTGAAAGCTTCTGCGGATAATATACATAATTGTGAAAGCTTTTTACACACATTTTTCTTATTCGAACCGATCGATTATATTAATGTGCTAAATGCCATGATAAATATATGAAAAATTAAATAAAATATTATTTTTTATGAAAAGTACAATTAATTTGTGTAAAGTATTAAAAAAATATTATGTAAAATCAATAAAAAAAATTTTTTGTATTTCAATTAAAACTAAGTTCAGTTCTTAAAGGCTTTCATTCAGAGACTTAAAAGAAAAAAAATCATAAATAATTTTTCCGTTAGTGTTCTTGTTATCGTTGTTGTTATTCTTTACATAAATTTATTGCAAGAATTTAACAATTCTGACTCAAGTGGTAATAAATCTATATGTAACTAACTACATGGAAATCAACGCTGGCTACGAAGAATTCATCCTAGCAAGAACATGAACGCCAACTTGCTATTAAACAACAACAACAACATGGTTAAAATGTTAGCAATTATTGCAACCGCAACAATGCTTAATAACAACAATTATATGGCTAAGTAAAAAAAAAATAAAAAAATAGCTGAATAAAAAATGGAAAAAATAAAGAAAACTTTGCACCAAAAGAAACGCAAATCATATTGAAAAAAAAATCGACTAGTAGAAATGAAAAAATAAAAACAAAATGATGAAAAAAAATAAATTCAACCAGAAAAGCAACAATTGTCGTTGCGGGATAATTGTGGCAAGTTGAGGTTGGTCCGGTGCAAGTGTTAGCCATTATACTACCACTTTACCTACACGTACCTGTCGGTATGTTTGTACATGTGTTGGAACATGTTTGTATGTGTGTATTTAGTAAGTCGCAAAAAACCAGCTAAGAAATGAGTGATAGAGTTGTAGTTGTATTATGGAAAGTGATGGCGTGAAGTGCATTTTTACAAGTGAGCGTTGGTGAACACACATATACCCACATATTTACATACATATGTACATATATGCATACTTATTACTATACATACATACATATATCGAGGCACTTTTTTGCTCTATTCTCTTGCGCTATTTACGCCAACACTTTTAATTATGCGAAGCTGTGTGTTGTTGTATTTCCATACATACATACTCGTATATATTAACTGAGAATTGAAGAAACTAATATTATAAATATATGTACATACATATACATATATCTATACTTACGGCATTATGTATTTGATTAGTTGGCATGAATATATGTATATATGAATTTATTTTAGTTTGTATATTTGTACGTGCAACACGTCATAAAGTAACGCCAACTACATACATACAGAGATATGAGTAGTAACAGCAATCACAAACTGACTGTGGCGACCACTGACAACTGACTGCTCAGCAACAACAAAGACAACACAAAATATTGTTGTTGCCGTTTCTGTTGATGTATTGCCTACTAGCATTCCTATAACGAACTTACATACAACGAATGCATTTGAAGTCATAACAAACGCCCACAGCATTCAACTGTAATGCACCACTGTGCACAATCGCATAATAATGTTTATATTTAGTAATTTATTCTTTTATTTTTTTTTTCTTATTTTAGTGCTTATGTATTTTTATAGCTAATTTGTTCAAAATATGAGATTTACTACATACAAGTGCAGAGGAAAATATATAAATTTAGTAAAAAATTAGAATAGATTATCCATGCCGGTGTGGTTTTGAAGCTGCGAATAATAGAATTTAAGCTTATTGGTTGTGTGTCGAGCTTGTGTTCGTGGGCATATGTATATTACTTTTAATTAGCATGCAGAAATCGCCATATATTTGCGTGTTAAACGACTTAGCTAAACAAAGAATAAAAAAATATATAAAATTACACATTTAAAATATGTAAAAGATAAAATATAAAATAAAGTGTATTAAAAATGTAATTAAGATATAAAAAAATGTATAAACTAAAATAAAATAAAAATAAAATAAAATAAAATAAAATAAAATAAAATAAAATAAAATAAAATAAAATAAAATAAAATAAAATAAAATAAAATAAAATAAAATAAAATAATTTAAAAAAATTAAATTAAATTAAATTAAATTAAATTTTATTAAATTAAATTAAACTAAATTAAATTAAATCAAATTAAAAATTAAATAAAATGGAATAATATGAAATAAAATAAAATAAGAATAATAAGAAAATAAAATGAACTGAATGAAAAAGATTGGAATCAAATTCTATAATTTTCTTAATGTTCCTGTTGCACTTTCGCACACGCACACCCACATACACACAGCCCCAACAGAGTTAGGAATACAAAGGAAGTGAAACTTGCACTCGACATTCAAACATTTGCACAGCCAGACGAGTAAACAGACACATGATATCCTAAAGCGAAAGCAAGCAAAAGTTTATATGTATAAATACGGGGCTTCGCACATATTTTTCTTTTGCATACATACATATATGTGTGTATCATTGTATGCCTCAACATCTGAGCATGCATGTGTATGCGTATAAATAAATTTTTTTTGGCAATTTCTATAAATGCGAAAATATTTTCACTTCATTTTTATTGCTGCAACACACACGTAAACACATAAACATATGTTTGTGAATATATATAAGTCATTTGTATATTATTTGAATATAAAATGCTTGAGTATGCGTACGCGTGTGCTTTAGTTGTTATTGCCACATGTGTCTTCTTATTGTGTCTGCCGAACGAAATTTCTACAATTTTTTCATTTTATATTTTCTCTTGATTTTCGGTATTTTTGTGTCTGCGTTGAAAATGAAAAGCAGGCCTTTTACTTATTTTCGAACGCAACGCATGCAGTCAGTCAGCCAGTCGGTCAAAAAGAAAAATGAATTGAGATGCAGGCGCAGAAACAGCAAATACTCAGTTGTTATTTTGGAAAGTATTTTCGAAAACGTAGGCAAATGACGCAGAAAAAGGAAAAAGTTGAAGAAATTGCAATACAGAAATTAATAAAAAGGAAAATTTCGAAAGTAGTGTGTACATATTATATGCGAGGAAAAAAGCTATTTGTGCAAAAATACAAGCTTTTATATGAACTGCAATGTCTGGAAAAAAATAATAAAAATTTAAAAATTATGTAGCATACATTTGGGCGTTTCAGCTGCAGTGTACTTCGATTTTTGACTGACTCGACTACATTTCGGTGCGTAACTGTACTTTTGAAAATTTCACGTTTGTATTTAAATGTAATTGATTGTAGGTAATTGCATTTTTGTACTTCTTTGGAATGAAAAGTTGGAGTGATTTAATTTCTAAGCCGAGTATGTGTCATTTCATAAGCAAAATATAAGAATTAACGAAGAACTTTGTATGATAAGAGTAAAATAAATTTAAAAGAACTTTAGATTACTTAAAATAAAGTTCAGTTGAGGCAAAAGACAATTTACAAATTTTATTTAATTTTGTAAGATGTAAAATATGTTATGAAACTAGCTGGGCACTCCACATAAGAGCAAAAAAATATTAAATCAACAATAAAAAATTCATTAAGAAATTCCCGAGGCTATAAAAAGCAAGCCCCTCTTCCTCTCTCTAATTTTTTAAAATTGACATGCCAAGTGAAAAGCTTCTTCTTAGCCGTTTAGTCTCTTCACCTTTTTCTGCCATTCAGGATGATTACTATCTATGTAATATGTGATCTCTATAAATATCCAGTATGT